CTGGCCTGGCCTGCCCTGGCCTAGCCTGGCCTAGCCTGGCCTGGCCTGGCCTGGCCATCTGGCCCTAGCCTGGCCTGGCCTAGCCCTGGCCTGGCACAACTTCAGCCTGGCCTAGCCTAGCCTGGCCTGGCCTAACCCCCCCTGGCCCTGGCCTAGCCTGGCTAACTAACCACAACCTAGCCTGGCCTGGCCTAGCCTAACTTCAAGCACAACCTAGCCTGGCCTAACCTAGCCTGGCCTGACACAACCTGGCCTGGCCTAGCCCTAACCTGACCTGGCCTGGCCTGGCCTGGCCTGGCCTGGCCTGGCCTGGCCTGGCCTGAGCCTGGCCTGGCCTGGCCTGGCCTGGCCTGGCCTGGCCTGGCCTGGCCTGGCCTGGCCTGGCCTGGCCTGGCCTGGCCTGGCCTGGCCTGGCCTGGCCTGGCCTGGCCTGGCCTGGCCTGGCCTGGCCTGGCCTGGCCTGGCCTGGCCTGGCCTGGCCTGGCCTGGCCTGGCCTGGCCTGGCCTGGCCTGGCCTGGCCTGGCCTGGCCTGGCCTGGCCTGGCCTGGCCTGGCCCTGGCCTGGCCTGGCCTGGCCTGGCCTGGCCTGGCCTGGCCTGGCCTGGCCTGGCCTGGCCTGGCCTGGCCTGGCCTGGCCTGGCCTGGCCTGGCCTGGCCTGGCCTGGCCTGGCCTGGCCTGGCCTGGCCTGGCCCTGGCCTGGCCTGGCCTGGCCTGGCCTGGCCTGGCCTGGCCTGGCCTGGCCTGGCCTGGCCTGGCCTGGCCTGGCCTGGCCTGGCCTGGCCTGGCCTGGCCTGGCCTGGCCTGGCCTGGCCTGGCCTGGCCTGGCCTGGCCTGGCCTGGCCTGGCCTGGCCTGGCCTGGCCTGGCCTGGCCTGGCCTGGCCTGGCCTGGCCTGGCCTGGCCTGGCCTGGCCTGGCCTGGCCTGGCCTGGCCTGGCCTGGCCTGGCCTGGCCTGGCCTGGCCTGGCCTGGCCTGGCCTGGCCTGGCCTGGCCTGGCCTGGCCTGGCCTGGCCTGGCCTGGCCTGGCCTGGCCTGGCCTGGCCTGGCCTGGCCTGGCCTGGCCTGGCCTGGCCTGGCCTGGCCTGGCCTGGCCTGGCCTGGCCTGGCCTGGCCTGGCCTGGCCTGGCCTGGCCTGGCCTGGCCTGGCCTGGCCTGGCCTGGCCTGGCCTGGCCTGGCCTGGCCTGGCCTGGCCTGGCCTGGCCTGGCCTGGCCTGGCCTGGCCTGGCCTGGCCTGGCCTGGCCTGGCCTGGCCTGGCCTGGCCTGGCCTGGCCTGGCCTGGCCTGGCCTGGCCTGGCCTGGCCTGGCCTGGCCTGGCCTGGCCTGGCCTGGCCTGGCCTGGCCTGGCCTGGCCTGGCCTGGCCTGGCCTGGCCTGGCCTGGCCTGGCCTGGCCTGGCCTGGCCTGGCCTGGCCTGGCCTGGCCTGGCCTGGCCTGGCCTGGCCTGGCCTGGCCTGGCCTGGCCTGGCCTGGCCTGGCCTGGCCTGGCCTGGCCTGGCCTGGCCTGGCCTGGCCTGGCCTGGCCTGGCCTGGCCTGGCCTGGCCTGGCCTGGCCTGGCCTGGCCTGGCCTGGCCTGGCCTGGCCTGGCCTGGCCTGGCCTAGCCTGGCCTGGCCTGGCCTGGCCTGGCCTGGCCTGGCCTGGCCTGGCCTGGCCTGGCCTGGCCTGGCCTGGCCTGGCCTGGCCTGGCCTGGCCTGGCCTGGCCTGGCCTGGCCTGGCCTGGCCTGGCCTGGCCTGGCCTGGCCTGGCCTGGCCTGGCCTGGCCTGGCCTGGCCTGGCCTGGCCTGGCCTGGCCTGGCCTGGCCTGGCCTGGCCTGGCCTGGCCTGGCCTGGCCTGGCCTGGCCTGGCCTGGCCTGGCCTGGCCTGGCCTGGCCTGGCCTGGCCTGGCCTGGCCTGGCCTGGCCTGGCCTGGCCTGGCCTGGCCTGGCCTGGCCTGGCCTGGCCTGGCCTGGCCTGGCCTGGCCTGGCCTGGCCTGGCCTGGCCTGGCCTGGCCTGGCCTGGCCTGGCCTGGCCTGGCCTGGCCTGGCCTGGCCTGGCCTGGCCTGGCCTGGCCTGGCCTGGCCTGGCCTGGCCTGGCCTGGCCTGGCCTGGCCTGGCCTGGCCTGGCCTGGCCTGGCCTGGCCTGGCCTGGCCTGGCCTGGCCTGGCCTGGCCTGGCCTGGCCTGGCCTGGCCTGGCCTGGCCTGGCCTGGCCTGGCCTGGCCTGGCCTGGCCTGGCCTGGCCTGGCCTGGCCTGGCCTGGCCTGGCCTGGCCTGGCCTGGCCTGGCCTGGCCTGGCCTGGCCTGGCCTGGCCTGGCCTGGCCTGGCCTGGCCTGGCCTGGCCTGGCCTGGCCTGGCCTGGCCTGGCCTGGCCTGGCCTGGCCTGGCCTGGCCTGGCCTGGCCTGGCCTGGCCTGGCCTGGCCTGGCCTGGCCTGGCCTGGCCTGGCCTGGCCTGGCCTGGCCTGGCCTGGCCTGGCCTGGCCTGGCCTGGCCTGGCCTGGCCTGGCCTGGCCTGGCCTGGCCTGGCCTGGCCTGGCCTGGCCTGGCCTGGCCTGGCCTGGCCTGGCCTGGCCTGGCCTGGCCTGGCCTGGCCTGGCCCTGGCCTGGCCTGGCCTGGCCTGGCCTGGCCTGGCCTGGCCTGGCCTGGCCTGGCCTGGCCTGGCCTGGCCTGGCCTGGCCTGGCCTGGCCTGGCCTGGCCTGGCCTGGCCTGGCCTGGCCTGGCCTGGCCTGGCCTGGCCTGGCCTGGCCTGGCCTGGCCTGGCCTGGCCTGGCCTGGCCTGGCCTGGCCTGGCCTGGCCTGGCCTGGCCTGGCCTGGCCTGGCCTGGCCTGGCCTGGCCTGGCCTGGCCTGGCCTGGCCTGGCCTGGCCTGGCCTGGCCTGGCCTGGCCTGGCCTGGCCTGGCCTGGCCTGGCCTGGCCTGGCCTGGCCTGGCCTGGCCTGGCCTGGCCTGGCCTGGCCTGGCCTGGCCTGGCCTGGCCTGGCCTGGCCTGGCCTGGCCTGGCCTGGCCTGGCCTGGCCTGGCCTGGCCTGGCCTGGCCTGGCCTGGCCTGGCCTGGCCTGGCCTGGCCTGGCCTGGCCTGGCCTGGCCTGGCCTGGCCTGGCCTGGCCTGGCCTGGCCTGGCCTGGCCTGGCCTGGCCTGGCCTGGCCTGGCCTGGCCTGGCCTGGCCTGGCCTGGCCTGGCCTGGCCTGGCCTGGCCTGGCCTGGCCTGGCCTGGCCTGGCCTGGCCTGGCCTGGCCTGGCCTGGCCTGGCCTGGCCTGGCCTGGCCTGGCCTGGCCTGGCCTGGCCTGGCCTGGCCTGGCCTGGCCTGGCCTGGCCTGGCCTGGCCTGGCCTGGCCTGGCCTGGCCTGGCCTGGCCTGGCCTGGCCTGGCCTGGCCTGGCCTGGCCTGGCCTGGCCTGGCCTGGCCTGGCCTGGCCTGGCCTGGCCTGGCCTGGCCTGGCCTGGCCTGGCCTGGCCTGGCCTGGCCTGGCCTGGCCTGGCCTGGCCTGGCCTGGCCTGGCCTGGCCTGGCCTGGCCTGGCCTGGCCTGGCCTGGCCTGGCCTGGCCTGGCCTGGCCTGGCCTGGCCTGGCCTGGCCTGGCCTGGCCTGGCCTGGCCTGGCCTGGCCTGGCCTGGCCTGGCCTGGCCTGGCCTGGCCTGGCCTGGCCTGGCCTGGCCTGGCCTGGCCTGGCCTGGCCTGGCCTGGCCTGGCCTGGCCTGGCCTGGCCTGGCCTGGCCTGGCCTGGCCTGGCCTGGCCTGGCCTGGCCTGGCCTGGCCTGGCCTGGCCTGGCCTGGCCTGGCCTGGCCTGGCCTGGCCTGGCCTGGCCTGGCCTGGCCTGGCCTGGCCTGGCCTGGCCTGGCCTGGCCTGGCCTGGCCTGGCCTGGCCTGGCCTGGCCTGGCCTGGCCTGGCCTGGCCTGGCCTGGCCTGGCCTGGCCTGGCCTGGCCTGGCCTGGCCTGGCCTGGCCTGGCCTGGCCTGGCCTGGCCTGGCCTGGCCTGGCCTGGCCTGGCCTGGCCTGGCCTGGCCTGGCCTGGCCTGGCCTGGCCTGGCCTGGCCTGGCCTGGCCTGGCCTGGCCTGGCCTGGCCTGGCCTGGCCTGGCCTGGCCTGGCCTGGCCTGGCCTGGCCTGGCCTGGCCTGGCCTGGCCTGGCCTGGCCTGGCCTGGCCTGGCCTGGCCTGGCCTGGCCTGGCCTGGCCTGGCCTGGCCTGGCCTGGCCTGGCCTGGCCTGGCCTGGCCTGGCCTGGCCTGGCCTGGCCTGGCCTGGCCTGGCCTGGCCTGGCCTGGCCTGGCCTGGCCTGGCCTGGCCTGGCCTGGCCTGGCCTGGCCTGGCCTGGCCTGGCCTGGCCTGGCCTGGCCTGGCCTGGCCTGGCCTGGCCTGGCCTGGCCTGGCCTGGCCTGGCCTGGCCTGGCCTGGCCTGGCCTGGCCTGGCCTGGCCTGGCCTGGCCTGGCCTGGCCTGGCCTGGCCTGGCCTGGCCTGGCCTGGCCTGGCCTGGCCTGGCCTGGCCTGGCCTGGCCTGGCCTGGCCTGGCCTGGCCTGGCCTGGCCTGGCCTGGCCTGGCCTGGCCTGGCCTGGCCTGGCCTGGCCTGGCCTGGCCTGGCCTGGCCTGGCCTGGCCTGGCCTGGCCTGGCCTGGCCTGGCCTGGCCTGGCCTGGCCTGGCCTGGCCTGGCCTGGCCTGGCCTGGCCTGGCCTGGCCTGGCCTGGCCTGGCCTGGCCTGGCCTGGCCTGGCCTGGCCTGGCCTGGCCTGGCCTGGCCTGGCCTGGCCTGGCCTGGCCTGGCCTGGCCTGGCCTGGCCTGGCCTGGCCTGGCCTGGCCTGGCCAGCCTGGCCTGGCCTGGCCTGGCCTGGCCTGGCCTGGCCTGGCCTGGCCTGGCCTGGCCTGGCCTGGCCTGGCCTGGCCTGGCCTGGCCTGGCCTGGCCTGGCCTGGCCTGGCCTGGCCTGGCCTGGCCTGGCCTGGCCTGGCCTGGCCTGGCCTGGCCTGGCCTGGCCTGGCCTGGCCTGGCCTGGCCTGGCCTGGCCTGGCCTGGCCTGGCCTGGCCTGGCCTGGCCTGGCCTGGCCTGGCCTGGCCTGGCCTGGCCTGGCCTGGCCTGGCCTGGCCTGGCCTGGCCTGGCCTGGCCTGGCCTGGCCTGGCCTGGCCTGGCCTGGCCTGGCCTGGCCTGGCCTGGCCTGGCCTGGCCTGGCCTGGCCTGGCCTGGCCTGGCCTGGCCTGGCCTGGCCTGGCCTGGCCTGGCCTGGCCTGGCCTGGCCCTGGCCTGGCCTGGCCTGGCCTGGCCTGGCCTGGCCTGGCCTGGCCTGGCCTGGCCTGGCCTGGCCTGGCCTGGCCTGGCCTGGCCTGGCCTGGCCTGGCCCTGGCCTGGCCTGGCCTGGCCTGGCCTGGCCTGGCCTGGCCTGGCCTGGCCTGGCCTGGCCTGGCCTGGCCTGGCCTGGCCTGGCCTGGCCTGGCCTGGCCTGGCCTGGCCTGGCCTGGCCTGGCCTGGCCTGGCCTGGCCTGGCCTGGCCTGGCCTGGCCTGGCCTGGCCTGGCCTGGCCTGGCCTGGCCTGGCCTGGCCTGGCCTGGCCTGGCCTGGCCTGGCCTGGCCTGGCCTGGCCTGGCCTGGCCTGGCCTGGCCTGGCCTGGCCTGGCCTGGCCTGGCCTGGCCTGGCCTGGCCTGGCCTGGCCTGGCCTGGCCTGGCCTGGCCTGGCCTGGCCTGGCCTGGCCTGGCCTGGCCTGGCCTGGCCTGGCCTGGCCTGGCCTGGCCTGGCCTGGCCTGGCCTGGCCTGGCCTGGCCTGGCCTGGCCTGGCCTGGCCTGGCCTGGCCTGGCCTGGCCTGGCCTGGCCTGGCCTGGCCTGGCCTGGCCTGGCCTGGCCTGGCCTGGCCTGGCCTGGCCTGGCCTGGCCTGGCCTGGCCTGGCCTGGCCTGGCCTGGCCTGGCCTGGCCTGGCCTGCCTGGCCTGGCCTGGCCTGGCCTGGCCTGGCCTGGCCTGGCCTGGCCTGGCCTGGCCTGGCCTGGCCTGGCCTGGCCTGGCCTGGCCTGGCCTGGCCTGGCCTGGCCTGGCCTGGCCTGGCCTGGCCTGGCCTGGCCTGGCCTGGCCTGGCCTGGCCTGGCCTGGCCTGGCCTGGCCTGGCCTGGCCTGGCCTGGCCTGGCCTGGCCTGGCCTGGCCTGGCCTGGCCTGGCCTGGCCTGGCCTGGCCTGGCCTGGCCTGGCCTGGCCTGGCCTGGCCTGGCCTGGCCTGGCCTGGCCTGGCCTGGCCTGGCCTGGCCTGGCCTGGCCTGGCCTGGCCTGGCCTGGCCTGGCCTGGCCTGGCCTGGCCTGGCCTGGCCTGGCCTGGCCTGGCCTGGCCTGGCCTGGCCTGGCCTGGCCTGGCCTGGCCTGGCCTGGCCTGGCCTGGCCTGGCCTGGCCTGGCCTGGCCTGGCCTGGCCTGGCCTGGCCTGGCCTGGCCTGGCCTGGCCTGGCCTGGCCTGGCCTGGCCTGGCCTGGCCTGGCCTGGCCTGGCCTGGCCTGGCCTGGCCTGGCCTGGCCTGGCCTGGCCTGGCCTGGCCTGGCCTGGCCTGGCCTGGCCTGGCCTGGCCTGGCCTGGCCTGGCCTGGCCTGGCCTGGCCTGGCCTGGCCTGGCCTGGCCTGGCCTGGCCTGGCCTGGCCTGGCCTGGCCTGGCCTGGCCTGGCCTGGCCTGGCCTGGCCTGGCCTGGCCTGGCCTGGCCTGGCCTGGCCTGGCCTGGCCTGGCCTGGCCTGGCCTGGCCTGGCCTGGCCTGGCCTGGCCTGGCCTGGCCTGGCCTGGCCTGGCCTGGCCTGGCCTGGCCTGGCCTGGCCTGGCCTGGCCTGGCCTGGCCTGGCCTGGCCTGGCCTGGCCTGGCCTGGCCTGGCCTGGCCTGGCCTGGCCTGGCCTGGCCTGGCCTGGCCTGGCCTGGCCTGGCCTGGCCTGGCCTGGCCTGGCCTGGCCTGGCCTGGCCTGGCCTGGCCTGGCCTGGCCTGGCCTGGCCTGGCCTGGCCTGGCCTGGCCTGGCCTGGCCTGGCCTGGCCTGGCCTGGCCTGGCCTGGCCTGGCCTGGCCTGGCCTGGCCTGGCCTGGCCTGGCCTGGCCTGGCCTGGCCTGGCCTGGCCTGGCCTGGCCTGGCCTGGCCTGGCCTGGCCTGGCCTGGCCTGGCCTGGCCTGGCCTGGCCTGGCCTGGCCTGGCCTGGCCTGGCCTGGCCTGGCCTGGCCTGGCCTGGCCTGGCCTGGCCTGGCCTGGCCTGGCCTGGCCTGGCCTGGCCTGGCCTGGCCTGGCCTGGCCTGGCCTGGCCTGGCCTGGCCTGGCCTGGCCTGGCCTGGCCTGGCCTGGCCTGGCCTGGCCTGGCCTGGCCTGGCCTGGCCTGGCCTGGCCTGGCCTGGCCTGGCCTGGCCTGGCCTGGCCTGGCCTGGCCTGGCCTGGCCTGGCCTGGCCTGGCCCTGGCCTGGCCTGGCCTGGCCTGGCCTGGCCTGGCCTGGCCTGGCCTGGCCTGGCCTGGCCTGGCCTGGCCTGGCCTGGCCTGGCCTGGCCTGGCCTGGCCTGGCCTGGCCTGGCCTGGCCTGGCCTGGCCTGGCCTGGCCTGGCCTGGCCTGGCCTGGCCTGGCCTGGCCTGGCCTGGCCTGGCCTGGCCTGGCCTGGCCTGGCCTGGCCTGGCCTGGCCTGGCCTGGCCTGGCCTGGCCTGGCCTGGCCTGGCCTGGCCTGGCCTGGCCTGGCCTGGCCTGGCCTGGCCTGGCCTGGCCTGGCCTGGCCTGGCCTGGCCTGGCCTGGCCTGGCCTGGCCTGGCCTGGCCTGGCCTGGCCTGGCCTGGCCTGGCCTGGCCTGGCCTGGCCTGGCCTGGCCTGGCCTGGCCTGGCCTGGCCTGGCCTGGCCTGGCCTGGCCTGGCCTGGCCTGGCCTGGCCTGGCCTGGCCTGGCCTGGCCTGGCCTGGCCTGGCCTGGCCTGGCCTGGCCTGGCCTGGCCTGGCCTGGCCTGGCCTGGCCTGGCCTGGCCTGGCCTGGCCTGGCCTGGCCTGGCCTGGCCTGGCCTGGCCTGGCCTGGCCTGGCTGGCCTGGCCTGGCCTGGCCTGGCCTGGCCTGGCCTGGCCTGGCCTGGCCTGGCCTGGCCTGGCCTGGCCTGGCCTGGCCTGGCCTGGCCTGGCCTGGCCTGGCCTGGCCTGGCCTGGCCTGGCCTGGCCTGGCCTGGCCTGGCCTGGCCTGGCCTGGCCTGGCCTGGCCTGGCCTGGCCTGGCCTGGCCTGGCCTGGCCTGGCCTGGCCTGGCCTGGCCTGGCCTGGCCTGGCCTGGCCTGGCCTGGCCTGGCCTGGCCCTGGCCTGGCCTGGCCTGGCCTGGCCTGGCCTGGCCTGGCCTGGCCTGGCCTGGCCTGGCCTGGCCTGGCCTGGCCTGGCCTGGCCTGGCCTGGCCCTGGCCTGGCCTGGCCTGGCCTGGCCTGGCCTGGCCTGGCCTGGCCTGGCCTGGCCTGGCCTGGCCTGGCCTGGCCTGGCCTGGCCTGGCCTGGCCTGGCCTGGCCTGGCCTGGCCTGGCCTGGCCTGGCCTGGCCTGGCCTGGCCTGGCCTGGCCTGGCCTGGCCTGGCCTGGCCTGGCCTGGCCTGGCCTGGCCTGGCCTGGCCTGGCCTGGCCTGGCCTGGCCTGGCCTGGCCTGGCCTGGCCTGGCCTGGCCTGGCCTGGCCTGGCCTGGCCTGGCCTGGCCTGGCCTGGCCTGGCCTGGCCTGGCCTGGCCTGGCCTGGCCTGGCCTGGCCTGGCCTGGCCTGGCCTGGCCTGGCCTGGCCTGGCCTGGCCTGGCCTGGCCTGGCCTGGCCTGGCCTGGCCTGGCCTGGCCTGGCCTGGCCTGGCCTGGCCTGGCCTGGCCTGGCCTGGCCTGGCCTGGCCTGGCCTGGCCTGGCCTGGCCTGGCCTGGCCTGGCCTGGCCTGGCCTGGCCTGGCCTGGCCTGGCCTGGCCTGGCCTGGCCTGGCCTGGCCTGGCCTGGCCTGGCCAGCCTGGCCTGGCCTGGCCTGGCCTGGCCTGGCCTGGCCTGGCCTGGCCTGGCCTGGCCTGGCCTGGCCTGGCCTGGCCTGGCCTGGCCTGGCCTGGCCTGGCCTGGCCTGGCCTGGCCTGGCCTGGCCTGGCCTGGCCTGGCCTGGCCTGGCCTGGCCTGGCCTGGCCTGGCCTGGCCTGGCCTGGCCTGGCCTGGCCTGGCCTGGCCTGGCCTGGCCTGGCCTGGCCTGGCCTGGCCTGGCCTGGCCTGGCCTGGCCTGGCCTGGCCTGGCCTGGCCTGGCCTGGCCTGGCCTGGCCTGGCCTGGCCTGGCCTGGCCTGGCCTGGCCTGGCCTGGCCTGGCCTGGCCTGGCCTGGCCTGGCCTGGCCTGGCCTGGGCCTGGCCTGGCCTGGCCTGGCCTGGCCTGGCCTGGCCTGGCCTGGCCTGGCCTGGCCTGGCCTGGCCTGGCCTGGCCTGGCCTGGCCTGGCCTGGCCTGGCCTGGCCTGGCCTGGCCTGGCCTGGCCTGGCCTGGCCTGGCCTGGCCTGGCCTGGCCTGGCCTGGCCTGGCCTGGCCTGGCCTGGCCTGGCCTGGCCTGGCCTGGCCTGGCCTGGCCTGGCCTGGCCTGGCCTGGCCTGGCCTGGCCTGGCCTGGCCTGGCCTGGCCTGGCCTGGCCTGGCCTGGCCTGGCCTGGCCTGGCCTGGCCTGGCCTGGCCTGGCCTGGCCTGGCCTGGCCTGGCCTGGCCTGGCCTGGCCTGGCCTGGCCTGGCCTGGCCTGGCCTGGCCTGGCCTGGCCTGGCCTGGCCTGGCCTGGCCTGGCCTGGCCTGGCCTGGCCTGGCCTGGCCTGGCCTGGCCTGGCCTGGCCTGGCCTGGCCTGGCCTGGCCTGGCCTGGCCTGGCCTGGCCTGGCCTGGCCTGGCCTGGCCTGGCCTGGCCTGGCCTGGCCTGGCCTGGCCTGGCCTGGCCTGGCCTGGCCTGGCCTGGCCTGGCCTGGCTGGCCTGGCCTGGCCTGGCCTGGCCTGGCCTGGCCTGGCCTGGCCTGGCCTGGCCTGGCCTGGCCTGGCCTGGCCTGGCCTGGCCTGGCCTGGCCTGGCCTGGCCTGGCCTGGCCTGGCCTGGCCTGGCCTGGCCCTGGCCTGGCCTGGCCTGGCCTGGCCTGGCCTGGCCTGGCTGGCCTGGCCTGGCCTGGCCTGGCCTGGCCTGGCCTGGCCTGGCCTGGCCTGGCCTGGCCTGGCCTGGCCTGGCCTGGCCTGGCCTGGCCTGGCCTGGCCTGGCCTGGCCTGGCCTGGCCTGGCCTGGCCTGGCCTGGCCTGGCCTGGCCTGGCCTGGCCTGGCCTGGCCTGGCCTGGCCTGGCCTGGCCTGGCCTGGCCTGGCCTGGCCTGGCCTGGCCTGGCCTGGCCTGGCCTGGCCTGGCCTGGCCTGGCCTGGCCTGGCCTGGCCTGGCCTGGCCTGGCCTGGCCTGGCCTGGCCTGGCCTGGCCTGGCCTGGCCTGGCCTGGCCTGGCCTGGCCTGGCCTGGCCTGGCCTGGCCTGGCCTGGCCTGGCCTGGCCTGGCCTGGCCTGGCCTGGCCTGGCCTGGCCTGGCCTGGCCTGGCCTGGCCTGGCCTGGCCTGGCCTGGCCTGGCCTGGCCTGGCCTGGCCTGGCCTGGCCTGGCCTGGCCTGGCCTGGCCTGGCCTGGCCTGGCCTGGCCTGGCCTGGCCTGGCCTGGCCTGGCCTGGCCTGGCCTGGCCTGGCCTGGCCTGGCCTGGCCTGGCCTGGCCTGGCCTGGCCTGGCCTGGCCTGGCCTGGCCTGGCCTGGCCTGGCCTGGCCTGGCCTGGCCTGGCCTGGCCTGGCCTGGCCTGGCCTGGCCTGGCCTGGCCTGGCCTGGCCTGGCCTGGCCTGGCCTGGCCTGGCCTGGCCTGGCCTGGCCTGGCCTGGCCTGGCCTGGCCTGGCCTGGCCTGGCCTGGCCTGGCCTGGCCTGGCCTGGCCTGGGCCTGGCCTGGCCTGGCCTGGCCTGGCCTGGCCTGGCCTGGCCTGGCCTGGCCTGGCCTGGCCTGGCCTGGCCTGGCCTGGCCGGCCTGGCCCTGGCCTGGCCTGGCCTGGCCTGACCTGGCCCTGGCCTAAGGCGGGGCGCTGGCCTAGGCAGGCCTAGCCTAACCTAACCTAGGCCAAACCTAACCTAACCTGGCCTAACCTAACCTAACCTAACCTAACCTAACCTAACCTAACCTAACCTAACCAGCCGGTCGCGCCCCCCGCCGAAGCGTAAACACCTAAAACGTATCGCTCCGCGTCTCAAAATTCGCATAAATAGGTTTTTTCAAGTGTTTTAGTACGGTGTTATACACCATTTTAATCAGCTTAAAAACGTGATTCTAGTGATACCAATCTCGTCGCGATAAGTGGAAAATTGGAAAAAATTCCATACAAAATACCAACATAACCTTGTTTTGGGTTATAGTTTTTCAGTTTCTTGAGTGCGACGCTAAATCTAGATCGGTAACACAGTGTTTTTCTTATACCATCGTGAGTGGCACATGAATGTGCAAGTGTGTGCAAACAAAAAAAAAATTGGATTTTTCCCGGCAGGTTTACTATACTTTTCATAATTTTTAAGATAAAACACGTGGCCACCACGTGGCGACCAACTTGTAACCAGCAGTGTTAGAATCTTGTGACTTACATCATTAGAACCGCCGTTCAGAGGGCTTTTAAATGATATATCGTGCACCTTCAGAAAATTCATCAGACCTGGAAAACCCCTTTTTGCAGAAAGTGGTAATTTTTATTAAACTTTGTAACTTAATAACTTTTCAAGAAGATCTGTAAGATACCCAGTTTAAACCACCATCAAACAGCATAACTAATCAAGATCATTCATGCAAAATTTCATAATTTTATAAGCAAATCTTCATATTCTTCTGAATTTTCTTCTGGAAAAGGGCCGGTGACGCCATTAGCACCTAAGTTGGTAATCACCCTGGAGGCCAAACGGAGCGTCTGATCAAAAATCTAAGCGAATTTTCATTCACTCCTGATGAGACAGTTATATGGGTAATCTACCTGGATAGACCACAAGACCCGGTCTACCGGAAGGTTCAGCTACTCTTTCAGTGATAACCCTGGCCCCTGCAGGGTCTGAGGGGAACTTTTACACTTTCTGAAATCAGCACTTCTCACTGCATAATACCATATAAGAAAAAGAACTAATATAGACAGATTTCATATTTTAAAAAATTTTTCTTTTATAAAAATTTTAAATTTTTACTAAATTAACATATATAAAAAACTTTCTAACGCTCATTAATAACCTGTTTATATAAGATTTGATAGAACTCATTATGGTGCACATTATTATATATATAAATGCTAACTTAAATTAAATCTCATATTATATAACCCCTTAAACAGCTTTTCAAAAAACCACTTTTTCGATAAAATTTGCAATTTTTTACTAAACTAACATCTATAAAATATTTTTCTAACGATCATTAATAATTTGTTACATAGCATTTGATAGAGCTTATCAAGGTGCACATTATTATATAAATAAATGCTAATTTAAATTAAATCTTATCTTATATAACCCTTAAACAGCTTTTCAAAAAACCACTTTTTCGATAAAATTTGTAAGTTTTTACTAAATTAACATCTATAAAAATTTTTCTAACGATCATTAATAATTTGTTTACATACCATCTGATAGAACTTATCAAGGTGCACATTATTATATATATAAATGCTAACTTTAATTAAATCTCATCTTATATAACCCTTAAACAGCTTTTCAAAAAACCACTTTTTCGATAAAATTTGTAATTTTTTACTAAATTAACATCTATAAAATTTTCTCTAACGATCGTTAATAATTTGTTTACATACCATCTGATAGAACTTATCAAGGTGCACATTATTATATATATAAATGCTAATTTAAATTAAATCTCATCTTATATAACTCATTAAACAACTTTTCAAAAAATTACTTTTCGTTAAAATTTGTAAGTTTTTTACTAAACTAACACCTATAAAATATTCTCTAACGCTTATTAATAATTTGTTTATACTTCATTTGATAGAGCGGATTATAGTGTACATTAATATACATAAAAGTTCTTATTTAAATTAAAATCTCGGCTTCTAAATAACGTTAAAACAAATTTTCTTTAAACAACTTTTTATTAAGATTGTAAAATTTTATTAAATTGGCACCTATAAACGAATCTCTTGACTCTTTTCTATAATCTGTTTGCAAACCATCAAACAGAGCTTATTATAAAACACATTAAAATACACAAAGTGATTAATTTAAATTAAATATTATTTTATATAACAACTTCTTTAAACAACATATCTGATAAAAATCGTAATAATACCTATAAAAGTATCTTTCTTGCTTATTAATAACCTGTTTGTGCACCATTTGATAAAACTAATTCTAGTGCACATTAATCTACATAAAAGAATTAATAAAAATAAAATCTCATCCGTTTAATAACATCTTTATCTTAGTAAATATCCCTGTAACCGTAACATTGCACCTTCTCAATTATAAATTGTAAACAAATAAAATTCACACAAACGAAGACATGTTTGGCCTCAGAACCCCAACTAAAAACAAGCCATCGCCATCCACAAGCGCGACGGATAAAGAGACCGAGGCAGAATTGCCCTCCGCACGAGAGCCTGCCCTGACCCCGGTTAACGAAGCGCAAACAAGTATGGGGGAAAAGGCGACCATCTTATCACAAACAGAAGAGAGTAGGAAAATAGTAAACAAAGTATATAGATCCCGTATAACGGAGGCAGCGGCGTTACAACAAAGTGCGCTCGCACAACTTAACGCTGCGAGGAATCTAAGGGGTGATATAAAAACCGCAGTAACGGTCGCGGTTAAAAGGTTGTATGAGTTGGTGCGAGACGGAGAGCTCCATGGAAAAGATAGGAAAGATGAAATCACGAATGAAGCGGAACCTGACAAAACAGACAAGCTAGAGGAAAAAATCAGAAGGATGGAGGAACTGATGGAAAACAACTCGAGAAAGCTGGAAGAGGTACGCATCAAAGTATGCAATCACAGCGACGCATACACTAAAGACAGAGAGGACAACAAAAACCTAATCAAAGAAATTGCAGGAACAGTAGAAAAACAGATGGAAACAATAGGGGAAAGAGACAGAAAGATTGAACAGAAACTGGAAGCCACATATGCCAGCGTAGTAGCCGCAGATAAAAGAAGGGAGCCAAAAACAGAAGAAAGACGAGAGAACATGGTAAACAGAGGAGCCGAAATGCACTCAATGATCATCTCTCCAAAGAAAGACAATGAGACCAGCGACCAGATGATGGAAAGAATTAGAGAGGTGGTGAACGCTAAAGAAGGAGGCATCAAAATAGATAGAGTCAGAAAAATTAAAGACGGTAAAATAGTCATTGGTTGTAGAAACATCGAGGAAAAGAATAAGATCAAGAAAAGGTTGGAAGAAAAGAAAGAACATATAGAAATAAAAGATATAGAGAATAAGGACCCTCTTGTAGTCATAAAAAACCTTCTGAGCTACAATACCGAAGAAGACATTAAGCAAGCCATAAAACATCGCAGAACTCAAAACAACATCGCAGAGGGCATAGAAGAAAAGGATTACAGGATCAAGGAAAAATATCGACGCAAAGCCAGAAACCAACACGAATCCCATGTCGTCCTTCAGGTATCGCCGAGCCTATGGCAGGCACTTACGCAAGCAGGTAAACTACATATAGACTTGCAAAGGGTGCTGGTAGTTGACCAGTCCCCACTCATGCAATGCATGCGCTGCTTAGGATTCGGACATGGCCGAAAGCACTGTGAAATAGAGAATGACTCCTGCAGCCATTGCGGGGAGAGCACTTAAAAGCGGAATGTACAAACTTTAAAAACGGAAACCCCCGCAGTGCATAAACTGCAGGGAAACTGGTAAAGAACATAAGCACAATGCCTTCGACAGCGATTGCCCTACAAGGAGGAGATGGGACGCCATAGCTAGACGCAGTTACGCGTATTACAAATGTTAAGACAAGGGCACTTTAACAAACAATCGATGTCAACAAACCGTAATGGACAAAACAGAAAGGATATACTGTGTAATACAAATAAACTTACAAAGGAAAGCGCTAGCCACCACCGAATTAACAAACGATGCCAGAGAAAAGAAGATCGCTATCGCCCTCATTCAAGAACCATATGTAGGAGCAACAGGCAAAATGGTTAATCCGAGTGGTGCTAGAACATACCAATGCACCGTACCTGGAACGATAGTCAAGGCCTGCATAGTTGTCTTTGACCCAGACTTAAAAATAGAACAAATCCCCGACCTTACAACCCCAAATATTGTGACAGTGAAAGTCGGAACGGGAGCGTGGGATATACACTTTACATCGTTTTATTTCGAACCTAGACCGCACCCTATTGCTCTGCACCTTACTGAGCTGGCCAAACATATACACAAAAAGAAGTCGATCCTGGGAGGAGACGGAAACGCGAAAAACACCTGGTGGGGCAGTGAAAAAACTAATAAACGAGGTAATGCACTCGAACATGTCATAGAGGCACACGACCTGCAGGTACTGAACGTTGGAAACACCCCAACCTTTGAAATCATAAGAGGCGGCAGAGCATTCTCGAGTGTCATAGACATTACCCTGTGCACTCAGAATGTTGTCACCCTAATCGAAGAATGGAAAATAGAGAGGGGACAGATCAGCACAGACCACAATGCAATCGTGTTCGGAGTGCGACTCAAGAAAGCAATAGAAAACGAGGCAAAGAGGACCACAAGGATATATAATACAAGGAAAGCAAACTGGACCGATTTCCGTGAGGAAATAAGGCAGATGTGTACGGAAAAACTAACAAGTCAAGAAGGAATAGAGAGCATAGGAGATAACGCTACTCTAGAAAATACAGTAGAGCAATATATCAAAGTGGTCGTTGACGCATGTGAGAACTGCATTCCCAAAATCAAAAAGAGGACTAACAAGAAGACACCGTGGTGGAATGATGACCTAGAGGAGCTAAGAAAGGATGTAGTTAGAAAAAAGAGAAGAATCAGATGTGCCAGACCTGTCAGAAGGGCAGAAGTAATAGA